GGAACTGCTGCTTACTGTGTGTGGTAGGAAAGGAGCAGCAGACGGCTGACAGCTGGAAGCAACCCCTGGTGTCTTGTAAACAGGACAAACCAGCTGGACAGACTTCAGAGCTGGGCCATTCCTCCCCATCTGCCCCCTTCCTATCGTGGCATCTGAGCTCCGGGGTATTCTGAAATATTCTGCAAAGCGGGTGACCACTGCCCAGTGTCACTCCCAGGCCCTGGGGAAGGGTGGGGTCATCCTGGGGCCTGCGGAACGGGTTTGGCCCTGGGTGCGGTATCCTGGGGGAGGTGAGGTTTGAGTCCTTAAGGACAAAGAGAAATTAGCCGAGAGCAGAAGAGAGTTCTAGGCAGAGGGACCAGCACATTCAGAATCAGAATCGGCAGGAAACTCACAGAACTAATTCAATGGGCTGGAAGAATAGGCTGGATGTGGAAAGAGGAAGAGGTGAGGTGGGCCCCTGCCTCCCTTCAGGCTTTCCCAGGCCTGCGCTCACACTGGTGCCTCTTCTCACCTCCACCAAAGCCTCTCTGTTCAACGCTTCCTCCTTCCCCCTGGTACATGTGCTGGGAGCCTCCTGTGCACCAGAGGTATCAGTACCCGGTACCAGAACTGAGTGCGGTTACATGCCTGTTCCCGCGCTACATCGCTGCAGCCCTTACAGCTACCTGGTGCCATAAGCAAGGGTGATGATGAAGACACCTAACGATGAGTTAGCGCAGCGCCCATCCAGCCAGGATCAACGCTGGCCTTAGAAAGGCATCCTGACCTTTCTGGCAGTACTGGCTGAGCCTCCCTCATGGCTGTGAATACTATCATGTCCATTTTACAGATCAGGAAAAGAAGACTGGGAGGATTTAAGCCACCTGGCCAAAGCCCCAAAGCAGAAAAGTGGGGATTCAGACCTAGGCTTGTCTCAGTCCAACATCTGACTGTTAAGAACTCTGGCTCACAGATGAAAACTTGGAAGTATGAGGGGCGACCACGGCCTGACATACCACACAGGCACCCTGACTGGCCATCTGCTCTCGGGAACGTGGCCGGACTCGAGGGCAGTGCAGGTCCAGGGAGGCCTGCTGGGGTGGGAGGATGCTCTGGAGCTGACAGGCCAGCTGGGCTTTGCTGTCCCCAGCCACACTGCGGGCAGCTAGCCGTGGAGGCCGGGGGCCTGTGCTCACCAGGCCAGCGGTATCCTGGACCTGGCTTCTTGGGAAGGACACAGCTGGCTATTCCTCCAGCATGGCCATTCCTAGCGCTGTTCCCCTCCCAGGCCTCTCTCTCCTCCGCTAAGAGCCGGGATGCTTCTGTGATCCCAGCTGAAACAACAAAAGTCACCTGAGCCTCTGCCTTTTCCAAAACTCCTGAAGAGGCTTCCAGCGATGAGTCAGTGCACGGGCAGCCCTGCTCACCGAGAACCAGCCTGGGGAGGTTGAGGCTTCCCACCGGTCTGAGCGGGGAGTAGGGCCGGGGCTGGGGCGGGGGGCGCACGGAGGAGACCATGGCAGCCCTGGGGAGCTCTTTACCCTGCCAGTGCTGGGGCTTCAGAGGCCCAACCCTGTGGTCGGCCACGTGGGGTTGGTGATTCCCAGGAGTGTGAAACAGCAGGACTGCCTGGGAGACAGTTCCAATCTTGTGCCTGAGCTTCTGCTCAGCACCAGGCACGGCCCTGCCCTCACGGAGCTCAGTCTGGTGGGGACCCTGAGGCCTTCAGTCGTATCTTTCCTCACTCCACCGAGGATGTGAGGCTGCGCTGGTGTTCATTTCATGTGGGCAGCCTGGGCCCATCCCCCGCCATTCTGGGGTGTTGCCTGACCACGAGTCCTGTTGGGGGGGACGGGGCCTGTCCCCAGCAACCACGTGCGGTTTGGTTTTGGTGTCTGTTTACCACTGTGATTCCTCCCACCCTCCCCCTTCTCCCAGCTCTCTCCAATTCTGCGCATGCAGGCGTTCCTTTCTATTTTTGAGCATGGCTATGTAGCTTCATGTTTCTTTTTCCTCTGCTCTCTACCTTGTATTTGGAGGTAAGGGGGTCAATTCTAGCATAAGCTTAATCTTCCACGTTGCCCCATTAATCCCGGAATTCCTCACCAGTCTGCTAATCGCCCACCCAGCACTGAGAGTACACATCATAGGCTTCTGGTTCTGGACCCATCACTAACCAGCTGGCGACTGTGGGCCAGCCCCTCCCCGTCCCCAGGCCTCATCGGGGGGATCTGTGAACTGTGGAAGTTAGAGGAGAGGATGGGAGGGGTGAGGAGAGCGGTGACACCCACACTTCCGTGGGGTCCGGAATTTAATCCTCACCAAGGAGACTCACGGCACTGCCTCACCTACGAGGGATCATCGGCAGCCCGACGTCATGGACAGACAGTGAATTCCGAGTTAGAAATGACTAGGTTCTAGCCCCAGCTTTATGCCTGTTAGGCTGTGGGACGTGGAGCAAAACTTAAGCCTTGAACTTCAGTTGTCTCATCAGTGACGTGAACAGCAATGTCCGTCCTCCCCACAGGCGGAGGGGGTGAGGCCAGGAAGCTGTGAAACAGTGTGGATGGAAAACACTTTTCTAGCCTAAAGTTCTGTGTTCATGCCAGCTGGATTACTTGGCACAGTTTGGGTTCCCTGGGAAGCAGATTCAGAGAGATGTGAAGTGTTCAGGATGTTATGAAGAAGTGGCCTTGGGATCAGCACACCTGTGCCAGGGAGGGAGTGGAAGCAGGATGGGGTCGAGGATGGGGAAGCAGGAGAAGCTGAGCCGCGATGCGGTCCCCAGGGCCTCAGCCAGCCCCGTGGGGAGCCCTGGAGTTAAATGTGCCCTCAGAGCTGTCCTGCACTGGGCCAAAATGGTTGAGCTTCTATATTCCCTGATCACCTGGTGATGCCGTCCTGGCAGGGCAGGACCGTGGTCTGCTTGATGCTCCAGCCAGCCCTGCCGCCAGCTGGGACAACAAGTCCTTTCTTGAGGGAAGATCTGGGCGGTGCTGTTAATCACACGGCCACGCCTAACGGTCAGGTTGTCCCGATCAAAGACTCGATATTATAGGGCTCCTGCCATTCTAGTACCATTTGCCAGCTCTCCTCATGCATTTTAGTTTAATGACTTTAGTCTCTCATTTCTGAGAAAAGAATGGGAAATTCCTCCTCTGTTTGCCGTGGGACCCAGAAAACCATTCCATCTGGCTTTGCCTCGGAGTGAAATAGAGTCTACTGGAACTGGGTACCAGCAGGACCTAAAAACTAACGAATTGATTTAATTTAAGAAGTTGTGTGTGTGTATACGTGAGGGCGTACACACATGAAGATGTATATATGTCTGCGTGTGAGCACATGTGGGGTGCATTTCTGGGTGAGTATATGTATGACGACCTGGACAAGAGAGAGGCTTCGGGGGCAGGTGTCCAGTGTAGACACACCCACATGGACAGGTGGGTGCTCATGAGAATCTCAATTTGTGCAGGTGGACCTCGTTCATTCATTCTTCAAACATTAATGAAGCATCTACAGTGTGCCAGGCGCTTGTGCTGGGGCTGGGAAGTGAGAAGAGAAAAGATGTGGTTCCTGCCTCTGGGAGCTTATTGTCTCCTGGGGAGACAGACAACTCATTGCAGGCATGTGGGGTACAGTGTGGTAAGAAAGTTGACAGAGGGGGCACAGGAGGCTGTGGAGGCACCCGGTGTGCACCCAAATCAGGCTGTCCCTTCCCTGGGACAGGAGACCCTGGAGCTGAGTCTTGAAGGGTGAGTACGAGTTACTGAGCCAAAGATGATGGGGAAGATTGTCCCAAGCTGAGAAGCAGAGCTTTCAACGTGCAGAGGGAACTGACCCAGAGGGAGGTCACAGGAGTACAAATAAGACAGGGTTGGTGATATCTGGTAGGATTAAGCTGTGAAGTGCTTAGAACCGTGCCTGATGAATAACAAGTATTCAGCTCTAAACCTTAGCTATTTTTAACCTGGGCTTGGATCCTCCTAGGTCTGTCTTACTCACTTGATGAAAACTGTGACCTCTTTGGGCCTCATCTGCAAAATGTTGGCCCATCTTTAACTCCCAGGGACCAATACCTGTCCCCTACCAACCTGTTCCGTTTTACATGACATGGTTCCTTGATTTGAAAAGATCTTGCTTGCCAAACTTCATTTGTTCAATAATAACCTACATGTCATCAAGGTTTCCCTTGGGCTTTATAAAATACTAGGAATAACTGGCAATGCTCCTTCCTGAGAGCTCCTGGATCAGGTGAGATAATCGCTGAGAAGCCACCCCTCCTACTCCAGTGTCACATGCTGGCATCTCCACAGCAAGAAGCAAGTACCTTCAGATATTTCTGGTCCACAGAACAGGGAGCCAAGCTGACCCTGAACTAGAAGATGCTTCCCATTGACTTTTGGAATGTTCTGGGGCCTCGGTTATCATTGTGAGAAGCACTCATTCCAGCCAAGTTAAGAGAAAGCCTTATCCTGATTCCCTGACAGTGATGTGCCTTGTGTTTGGAAAATCCAAGAGCGAGCTATTGTGGCTGGCGAAGGCCACTTTTATGGCGATTGATGCTTCGGTCTGATGAGTCCTATGTGCCGGTACTTTCCATATATTAGCTCTTTAAATTTTCACAATAACCTTCCAAGGTAGTTACTATCATTCCCAATGAATAGATGATGAAACTGTGGCTCAGAGATGTGATCTGCCCATGTTCAACCAGCTAGTAAATCACAGCATTGTTTAAAATTTCTTTCATATATCTAATAACCAAATTCTTACTTTTCTCCGAAGCAGTAATCATCTCCATTTTATGGGTGAAGAAAGTGAGACTTCGCAAAGTTATGGGACGTGTCCAAGGTCACAGAGCTGAGAATTAGCAAAGTGAATCTGGATTTACTGCTCTTTCTTCAACAGCTGCTGGCAGCAAACCGACTATGAGGTGGCACCTCCCCACCTGGGCACCCAGGTGAGCCTTTGTGAGAAGGCATTCGTCCTCAGGGGCTTTGTCAGGAGGGGTGGAAACTTACCTTGGATGTCATCGTTGAACATGCAGTACTTGTTGCGGTATTTGTTGAGAAGGCGGAAGGCATTGGCATTGGCAAAGTCTTCAAACTGGATGAGGCAATTTATTCCAAACCTGTGGAGAGGGAGAGGAAAGAGCATGTAATTGCCTCCCTGAGCTGACGCCTGGCAGGTCCCAGCCTGCACTGGGGAGCAGGGCGGTGCAGCCCAGGGGTGGGTGTGGGTGTGGCATGGCTCATTCACTGGGGTTTATGCCACCTGGCTGGCTCCTGGACTCCTGGCTCTGCCTGCCCCATTATGATTTAGTTATCTAGTTTTAATTGAAGTAGAGCTGATTTACAATGTTGTGTTAATTTCTGCTGTACAGCAGAGTGACTCAGTGACACATACATACATTCTTTGTTTTTGAAGATTTATTATTCGTTTGAAAATACTTCCCATGTAATTTAAAAAAACAATATATATATACATATATTTATTTATTTTTGGCTGCGTTGGGTCTTTGTTGCTGCATGGGGGCTTTCTCTAGTGGCGGCGAGCAGGGGCTACTCTTCGTTGCGGTGCACGGGCTTCTCATTGCGGTGGCTTCTCTTGTTGCAGAGCACGGGCTCTAGGCGTGCTGGCTTCAGTAGTTGTGGCACGCGGGCTCAGCAGCTGTGGTTCACGGGCTCTAGAGCGCAGGCTCAGTAGTTGTGGTGCACGGGCTTAGTTGCTCTGTGGCATGTGGGATCTTCCGGGACCAGGGCTCGAACCCGTGTCCCCTGCATTGGCAGGCGGATTCTTAACCTCTGCGTCACCAGGGAAGTGCCATACATTCTTTTTTATATTCTTTTCCATTAAGGTTATCCTAGGAGATTGGATATAGTTCCCTGTGCTATACAGTAGTAGGACCCTGTTGTTTATCCATTCTAAATGTAACAGTTTGCATCTACTAACCCCAAACTCCCAGTCCATCCCTCTCCCAACCCTCTCCCCCTTGGTAACCACAAGTCTGTTCTCTATGTCTGTGAGTCTGTTTCTGTTTCATACATAGGTTCATTTGTGCCATATTTTAGATTCCACATAAAAGTGGAATAGTATGGTATTTGCCTTTCTCTTTCTAACTTATCTCACTTAGTATGATAATCTCTAGTTGCATCCACATTGCTGCAAATTGCCTGCCCCATTATGGACGAGGATGGGGCAGAGAGTAGGGGTACGGAGCCTGGTGGTCAGCCAAGCCCATATCATTGTCTCTAATGTGGGCTGGTGACTCCCACGGGCTCTGGATGGCAGACCCCAGGGGTGCTGGAAGGGCTGAGATGGGGCCCCGTCTCTCTGTGGCCTGTGGCCATCCGAAATCCCAGCAGAAAGCTCACTCCAAACCCAAGTGCATGCAGAGAGCCCGGCTCCTCTGCCACTCAGGCTTGGGGAGCCTCTGCAGCCTCCAGATATCTCCCTTGGTGGATCTTGAAGTCTCAAGTCCCTCCACCAGACTCTTCTGGGTTCAGGCATTATTCCCTGATAAGGTACTGGGAAGGCTGGGAAAGGCCACTGCATGAAGCCATTGTCATCCACTAACACTTTGGTGAGTGTGTTCTCCATGTACAGGTAGAGCAGGATCAGTTGGTAAGCTGGTTCAAAATGCAGAGCACCGGGCCCATCTCCCAAAGACTCACCCAGTGAGTTTAGGGGTGGGGCTCAGGAATCTGTATTTTTTCCTCCATCTTTACTGAGGTATAATTGACAAATAAAAATTGTATGTATTTAAGGAACACAACAGGATGTTCTGATACATGTATACATTTGAAATGATTACCACAATATCAAGCTAATTAACACACACATCACCTCACACTGTTACCATCTGGTTTTTTTTTTGAGGGGTGAGGACATTTAAGATCTACCGTCTTAGCAAACGTCAAGTGCGTGATACCGTAGTAATTATGAACTTCCGTCACCATGCTGTACAATGCATTTTCAGCGAGCACCTCAGATCGTTCTGATCCTGTCTGGAGAACTCAGAAACACTGCCTTGGTGGGTAAAGACAAGGCCCATTAAGCGGCCTGAGTTGTCTTATTTAAAATCTACACTAGAATTGCCTTCTAGATTTCAAAGTCAGGAAAAAGTCTGTGTTTCCTAAAAAATGACTGGATTGGTAACCTGTGTTTCCTGTTAACACTGGGCGTCAGGAAGCTGAGAGCTGTCTTCTTCCCTTTAACGGTAGGTTCCCTCAGCCGAGGCTCTCTGCACACACCCTCCCCTGACTCGATTCTGGCTCTTTGATCCTGCTTTTTTGGGTTGTACTGTGTTTTTTTTTGTTTGTTTGTTTTTTTGCGGTATGCAGGCCTCTCACTGTTGTGTCCTCTCCCGTTGTGGAGCACAGGTTCCAGACGCGTAGGCTCAGCGGCCATGGCTCACGGGCCCAGCCTCTCCGCGGCATGTGGAATCTTCCCAGACTGGGGCACAAACCCGCGTCCCCTGCATCGGCAGGCGGACTCTCAACCACTGCACCACCAGGGAAGCCCTGTACTGTGTCTCTTATTGGAGTCTTTCTGGAAGCAAGTGTGATGTGAATTATTAAAAATTACTTAATCCATGGGCAGAAAAAGGGTTTCATCTCATGGACCAATTTATGACCAACAGTATCTGTGGTCATGTTCATTGAGAAAAAAAATGCCCTAATTGTTCAGCACAGAGTGTCTGGGCATGTGGTAGGGAGAAGTGCCTGCCATTCCCAACTGTGTGAACTGGAGGCCTGGGACCAGCTTGGGACCAGCTGTGGAAAGAAAGACGTACGACCTTGTTGGAAAAAGTGGCTGGGGCCCACGTGTGGTGGGCTTCCTGTGCTGTCGGGGCATCTGTCTGATGAGGCTGGTGGCTGTGAGGGGGTGAGTAGCACTGAAGTGGCCCAGAACACATTTTTTTCCAACCTCTGAATTTTGTGCATGGCATATCCTTTTTTTCTTTTCAGAAAACGTACCCATTTTTTGGATGCATTGCAACTGCTCTGCATTTGACTATATTATGTAGAAAATACTGAAAGTACAAACTACTTTGTAAAACCAAAGACAAACATTGAATCCAAAGATAAACTATGTTTTACACAATGGACACTTTTCCCGTAGTTAGTATTAAATTTTAAATATCTATTCCTTTTGTTAAAGTGATTACTTTACATACTCCCTGAGTACATCTGCATTACAAACATAGCTCAGTAATTCTCAGAAACTGTTTATAGAGGTTTGTTGTAAAAGGAAGCACACCACCAGAAAAGGGAGGAAGCAAAAAAAGTACAGTAGAAATGCCAGTGGGCAGGCAAATATTTGCTCCTGCCATGGTCCTTCCAGTTGGAGCTGTTGGTGGGGGGATTTGGAGAGAGGTTCATGTCACAGGGGCCGAAATGGAGAGGCAGCAACTTGCCTCAGTCCAGTGTTGAGCTCTGGGCTTGGGTCAGGAGGCTCGTGGGCCTGACCTGGCTCTGCCACTGCAACCGAGTGTCACTTCACTTCTCTATTCTGCCTCAGTTTTCCATCTGTCAATGGGCATAATATTTGCCTGGCCAACTTTGCGGCTGTGGTGAGGATTAAAAGCTGGGGGTGATTTTTAAATTGTAAAGTGCTAAACACGTGTCATCCTGGCCACAATTCACAGAGCAAGTGCTGGTGGGGGTAGTGGTAGGGAGCTTGCAGTGTCTCCTGACCCACCATCCAGCCCTCTTCTCCTTGTACAACGAATAGAAATGGTTTAAAAAAAAACAAAAAAAAACCCTTCAGTGCACAATTATAATGCTATGTTCACCAAACCAACATTTACTGTGAATTTTTGTTCAGGGTGTAAATTTCAAGTATTTGGATGGGGAGGGAGGAACAGAATGTCTTTGGTTGTCGGTGACCTTTTGATATATAGAATCCTCACAAGACTCTCAGTGTTGCTCCCGCACTGGCCTGGAGCTAAAATGCTGAAAAGGTCAGACGACAAAACAATGTGATGCACGTCGTTTCTCCTTTCTCTCACTCTCTGTCTCTTACATACACACACACACACACACACACACACACACTTGACCTTTAAGCAACACCACTCTTAGGTTAAAAAATAAGCCAGGGATTATAAATAAATACCTTTGTTCAGTGCACGATTATTCTTTCATGGCAAATTCAGTTTCACGTAAGAGAACCTCCCCAGGGAGGAATTTGATGAGATACAGAGTAAAATCTCATTCATTCAAGTCACTTTAATCCTAACTTGGAATTGGATAAAAGGCTATGTGAATCTGCCATCCAATAAACTAGACTCAGAGTTTCCTGACCTCCTTGTATTTAATGACCTCCAGGACCCCTACCCACCTTGGATGCCCTCCCCATGGCTGCTCCCTGGACCTTTCGTCACCAGGAGCCGCTCCTACTAAAATTTCACACTGTGCGTTTCAGTCTCTGACCACAGCCTCTCCTTCCACCTGCCTTACTTCCACTATACCTCTTCTTCATCTCCAGGGAGACCTTTGGGCCCTTTACCACATTTTCCTGGTCCCTTGGCTCCTGACTTATGGCTTTTCACGAAACCACACCACTAACTATCCAGTCTGAACCAAGGCTGGTTACTTCAATTGCTCTATTTGCATCATCCATCCATCCATCCATCCTCCATCCATTCCCTCTGCCCATCCATCTGCCTGTCCATCCATCCATCCATCCAAAAGCATCTACTGAGCACCCATGATAAACCAATAAGTTGTTCAGTAAATGTTTTAGGAAGAGCTGGGTACATGAAGGAGTTGGTGGAATTTTAGTTTGAGTTTTCCTGCCAACTTGTTAAACTAATTAAAAGCCAATTAAGAACAAAAAAAATTTCAAAATGAAAATTTTAAAAGCTTAGGTTACAAAAAACCTTTTCTCAATTCATCCATGTATATCCAAATACAGGATGCTGGACTTTCATCATAACACCAATTTAAATGTTAATTATAACTGCCTTACATATTCATGAAAATACTTCTACTAATGATAACAGTAACAAAAACAGCTAATGGTTATCGATGGTGCTGGGCATCAGGCTGAGTTCTTTGCATGAATTATCTCAACTAATCTTCCCATGACCTTATGAAGTAGGTAGGTGCCATTTCAGAGAAGGAA